ATTATAAATTCTAATACTGTCTGAATCTAAATTAATTATAATTTAATATAATTTTAAAATATTAAAAAATTAAAAAAAATAACAAAAGAGCATTTTATGAAAATATCATATTGAACAGGTGCAGGGACCACTACATTTACATAAAAAAAAAAAAAAGCTTATAATTAAATATCCAAACTTTCTAGAACTAGAATTTATTAATTCTAAAACCTTACTAAAAAGAGTTTTATATACAGAAAAAGATCAAAACTTTTAAAAGAAAAGTTCTTTTTCTCGGAAAATTCTGATGTCTATGATTGAACAAGAACAAGGACAATTTATTTGATGGGATGAACGGAAAGATAGGACTTGAATCCAATCATCTACTACGCAAAAGCCAAAACTTACGGGGCTAAAGATTCTACCGTTACCCGCCAGTTCCAAATTATTTCAACTGAAAAACTGAAAAACTATAAACTATAAAAACTGACTCGTGCCAGTGCCAGTGCCAGTCCCTACCGTACGTTGCGTCACCGGACCCACTGTGCCACTCATCAACGGTCCAGATCCAACTGAGTTTCTAATTATATTATTTTAAATTCCTCTATTCTATGGGTTAAGGTCACATAATAAAAATTAATTATTGATTTATAATTATTTTAAAAAATATTAAATATTAAATTAAAAAATAAATTTTAATTTTAATTTTTAAATAAATAATTAATTAATTAATACATGATATTTGCAATTAAAATAAAAATTAATTTTATTATTTTTAAAATAAAAATTATTTTTATTATTTTTAAAATAAAAATTATTTTTATTATTTTTAAAATAAAAATTAATAATAATTATACAACCATTACTTTTTATTCAGATAAATCCCATTATTATTTCGGGAAAAGGAAAAAAGAAGAATAATTTGACCATGGCAACGACAAGCTGAAGCAGGAGCTGCGCATTTCGGTTTTGCAGCATTTCGAGTTGAATCTGCTCTGGATTTCTTCTCTTTAGATCTCAGTTTCAATGGGTTCGGGAGCTTCGATTCTGTTGAGTTTTGTTTCCGGCCGTTGACTTCGGAGATTTCTGGAGTGGGTATTTGGGGGAGCAATGAGGAGTTGCGGCAGCATGGCAGAAGAATCCGTCACAGGGCTGCCAAACCCTAGTTCTCAAAAATTGGAGAGGCCGCCGCTGCTGAAGAAGTCGAGAACCATAGCGTCGGATGAGGGATGCTCCACGCCACACTTTCCGGGTCCCCTGTTCCCCGCCGTTCGTCGGGTCACCTCGCTTCCTTCGTCCCCTGATCGTCGTGATTCCGTTGCGTCCAGAAAGCAAAGTAGTACCACAAGCAGCAGCAATGCAACCAATTTTAATAACGTTAACAACGTGGATGTGGGTAGTGCATCAGAAAGGGATTGGCTTTACCCACCGTTTCTAGGCCCACATGCCGCCAGGAAAAGGGTAGTTACGGTGAAGCCATCTAAGTCGCAGAGCAGAGGTGGTGGTGGTGATGAGCGAGTAGCAGGCGGGGCGCAGGTCAAGCCGGAAGATGAGAACCAGCGGCCTGGGAGTAATAGGAAGGAGGAAGCGAGGAATGTGAGGAGTCAAGTTTTGCCGACTCATTCAAGAGCTGTGAGTCAGTCCTGCGCCAGGGGGACTCTCCGATCAAGATTGAAACATTCCCTCATCCTTTACTTGGTATGTCTTTCGAACAAAATTCGAAGCTCCTTTTTTTTAATCATAAAAGTTGCAATATTTAAGCTTTTAATCATTTGAAGAAGAAATTTCTATCGAGGTTGAGTTAGAAGAACAAGTAAGAATTCTAAAAATGGTAATTTTAATTGAAAAGATGCATTGGCAAGAAGAAAAGGCAGAAAATAACAAGTTTCACTTTTT